CACATAATCTTGGGACATTGCAACCTTCATAAATATGAGTCCACTGCCAAGCGTCTGAATTTGTATGATGTGTCCATGGGAATGCTGCAGCAGCTGCAAGTGTGAAAAATGGTCATAAGTCACTTTTTGCAGTGACATAACTTTGAATGGTCACTTAATGAACTGTTGTAAGTTCATTGTAGAGGAATCTAAGGGAACTGATTGTCATAAGTACCAACTTGTCTATTCCTATTCTAAGGTCATACATAATGCCAATTTTCTCAAAGATCAATTTTTCAATTCTGAATTATCTAGTACTTTCTTCAGCTTTGTCTGTGTTCATAAAGCTATGATTGACTCAAACAATCATGAAATTTCAATTATTTGACCCTATTTATTATAAACAGCCATACATTTAATAATAAATATTACACTCTCAAGTTTTAGCTATTTGGCTAAAGGCATTTTCTCCAACCTGGTTCTTTCTAGAAGTATTCAGTTGAAATTTCTGTGTTCCATAACCAGCATGGCTATTTAGAATAAGTCAACTTGGTATAAAGTCTTTGAAGTAAAGAAGAAACTTATCTAAAATAAAAGTCCACCCTGAATACCCTGAATGATTAACAAAATTTCAGATAACCGTTTTCATTTTTGTTAACTTTGCCATATTCAAGATATTATCAAGCCCTTATAATATTTAAGAATGTTTATTATTGTGAAAACAGAAAAAATGATAAAGCTCTAAAGCTTTGAAAAGCATTGAGCTTCTCTAAGTTGGCCAGCAATCTGGAGAGTGTAATTACCAATGAAATTTATGATACAATTTGGCATATTGAGCAAAGTAGTATGCAGTTTATGTTTCCCCATTGCTTTTCCAAATTTAAAATTAAACAATAATTTTAAATGATCATGTGAAATTAAAGATGGATAAACTTACCAAAATAACAGTTCTTTGTTACCAGCAGAAATGATGTTAATGGAATCAAAGGGGGCAAAATAAGAATTGGTGAATTAAATAATTCTACAAAACTCTATTGCTTAAGGCTGTTTCCTGTAATGGTAAGTGATTACAGGTTTTGCATGAATCTGGAGAGAATATTTACATTGCGGTCAAAAATAAGTTTCTGATGAATGAAAACAGTTCTTTTGTGGCAATATCTATTTGTAATTTCTGTGTTGCTTTTTTAGTCTTTGTATTTTTTACACTTTGAATTGGAAGAAGATGGGAATAGCTTTAAAATTGTAGAAAGAAATATTAGTATCCTATACTGAGATGCTGACATGTAAAAGATCTGCAAGATCTAGTAATAAAAGTCAGAGAGTCCGGGAGAAAAAAAATAGGATTAAAATTAAATATAAAGAGATCAACCTAATGATAGCAGGAACAACAGCCAGGCTTAGAATTGACAGTGAAGATATTGAGATGGTAGATCACTTCTGCCTTCAGGGATCAACCATTAATAATAAAAGAATAAACAATCAAGAAATACTCCGCAGATGAGCACTTGGTAGAGCAGCCACAAAGATCTTTTGTGAGATATATCTGTAGAGAGTTCTAACTCAAGGCACAACTGACTTGGTTCATATTATCATATATGGACATATTATACAGTTACATATTATGGGAAGTCCTTGCTCTCTGGAAAAGTATAATGTTGAAAAAGATGAAAGGTAATCAGAAGAGGACTATCAGGAGCAAGATGGATGGATTCAGTTGTAGCGTCAATGGGTGGACTATTGAGAGATCTAAAGAATTAGATTAGGGAAAGATTGTCATGGGATAAAATATGTGTGGTTCCTAAGTGATTTTATAGCATAGAATTGTAAATCATCTCACATCTCACAAGACTATACAGAATAATTCATGTGTATGAGAAATGGAATGGTTTGACTAGTATGTGATAAAATAAAAAACCAGTAAAGTAAGGTTTATTGTTGAATTGCTGAATATAGCATTCCTGCATAGTAAAAAAAAATGTTGCAGTTTCCTGTTTCCTAATATTATTTTGCTGAAACAATACCTGTTTAGTCAATATTTCTTAGTCTTTTGATTTCCTATTTAATTTTTGCAATTTTAAGTTTTTTAAAATTTGTAAAAAATAAGCAATGTGATTTCAGCACATTAGTTTTCTAGTCTGTAAAACTGTTTTGGTGGTAGAGATATTATAACCGAGGTTAAAATAACAGTTCTGTTGATATAGTGTTGACAGATTTTTCTAAATGAAATGCATGCTTTGAATATATATATTCATTAAACAAAATTGACCATCTGTTACATGATGGAGAAAGAAAAATAGCAATAAATTTCACTTCATTAACACAGACTGAAACATGTGTCTACCCATTATTCATGAAGTATTTATGTTTTACAGTTTAGATATCTCCTCTTAATATGATAAAAATGCAATTTGGTCTTAATAGTCTCAAAAGATCAATCTTAATGTGTATGGGTTTTTTTATGGAGCTTCCATTTGATGATTACTTCAACATTAAAACTCTGGAAATGTCCCTATCAATATGTATTGATGGCAGCCAGTTTAAGTGAAAATCAAAATAACATGGAAAAAAGAATAAATATCATGAACATGTTGGGATCCCATGTAAAGATTTTTTATTTATTTATTTTCTGTAGATCCAGGATGATATATATTCTGCATCCCATTCTGTAAACAGAATAAAACTGTTTTGTTTTTTTTGTAGAATAGATTTTGAAGCAGGCAGGCATGAGATGATGTAAGACATATTAAGTATATTAGCTAAAAACTAAATTACTACGTTCATATTAAGAACTTTTCCAGTATGCATTTCAAATCCAGTTCATGCTAATTTAAGTGAAATTAATATTCTTTAAGAGGCAGAATTCACAATGTCATGTACTACTGTTAATAATTCAGATTCCATTGATGATATTGATATTAATTATTACTTAATTGTTTGAAAACAATGTAAACTACCTTCAGTGGCAGGATTGTATCATGGTACTGGTTTTTGGCCAATATTGTCACCACTCAGAGCCATTTTGTGTAATGAAACATATGGAAATTTCAATTTTAGAGCATGCCATTGAATAGTAGCTGCTAAAATCAGGGATAGAAAAAAAATTGCCTTCATGCTCTGCATTATTTGCTAAGTTAACTCAATATTGACAGGCTTCCATGTGCTGTTATGAAAAATAAAAAAGTAATGTTAGTTAAAGCTACATTTGTTTTAATAATTTGCAGTCATGCTACTTTAATGGCTAAAAAATGGGTGCTGTGCTTTCATGAAATCCAAAGCACTTCTTTCAAATAAAACATGAACAGCCTTAATGGGAAATAGGGTCCTGGACCAGCTGAAGTTTTGCCCTGAACCAACTGAAGCTTAATTAGAACTCACCATGAAATGTATCTATGGTGTAAATGACATCTAAAGTATTATATTAAATTCCAATCTAGATTTTTGTTTTATAGAATGCTAGAAGATGATCTAAAGTTGAGCAGTGATGAAGAGGAGAGTGACCAGGTAAGAAATTTGGAATTTATTCATTTTTTAAGCTGTTTATTCATTAGATTTATATGCTGACTTTTCTTAAAAAGCTGAAAACAATTGTCCTATCTTAAATTTATGGGTTAATGTATAATTATGATTGTATACATTATTAACTAAGTCCCATTCAAAAAAATCACTTTACAATTTAATGAACTCAGCTATAAGGAATTACAAGTAGTCCTCAACTTAAAACAATTCATTTAGTGTCTACTCAAAGTTACAATGCTCTGAAAAAAATGACTTAGGACTGTTTTTCTCACAAAGGTATGTGATCCCCATGGCATGTGATCAAAATTAAGATGCTTGGCAACTGGTTCATATTTATGATGGTTGCAATGTCCCGGGGTCATGTGATCACCTTTTGTAACGTTTTGACGAGCAAACTCAATAGGGAAGCCAGATTCGCTGTATTACTAATTTAACAACTGCAGTGATTCACTTAACAAATGTGACAAGAAAAGCCCTAAAATGGGGCAAAACTCAATTAACACCTGTCTTCCATAGCAACATAAATTTTGGGCTCAGTTGTGGTCATAAGTTGAAGCCTACCTATAATCATAATGAGGAAAACAAAATAGAGGGCTGTCAGTTTCTAATAATTATATCACCATACAAGTTTGTAGTTCCTTTGATTACATAATTATATTTTCCCTTAATTAATATAATTCATTCAGTACTTAATATGATTATTACACAATGATCAGAAGGAGGTCTAATATGTGAAAAGAAATATTCATATTTTACAAGCATCAATTTGTAGGCAGAATTTTCTTTCCCCTAAGCTGCAGCAAGATTTGCCACCGAGTTTTTGTGGCAGTGCAAATTTATAACCCACAGAGTTAATCAATCTGCATTCAGCAGCTTAAACATATTAAATAGAACCCGTGTGCTTGTCTGGAAAATGTAGCTAAAGTTCATTTGGTCTGTTTGCCGCTCCAACTCCTAAGATTCATAAAAGGCAATACCCGGGTATATGCTTTTGGCTTGTATTTTTTAAAAATGTTAAAACAATATAAATACAAGCTACAAAATAATCTTTGAGACCTGCCTCTGAATTGGAACTCTGGATATGCAGGAAAGAAAAACCACTGGATGCTTTAGATAGTAACATAGGGAAGGGCAGAAGGTTTTGTAAAAACATTACAATATATACTTATAGTTTGTAAAATTGCTAATTATGCTATATGTTGTGTACCTGGTTGAAATATTGTACATCATTTTTAGATATTAACATGAAGAATATGTATACACACACACACAAATACTGCAGGTAGTCCTCATTTAACAACCACAATTGGGACTAATAACTCAGCCATTAAATGAAGCAATTGCTTAGTGGAACGACATCTTAACATTGTAAACCACTCAGAGTTACCCTGTGGTAAGTTGGGTAACCAATAAATTTAATAAATAAATAAATTCTGGTTATGATCTCACTTTAGCTTTCCTTTTCTTTATAGGCCTACAAAGGTTGTAAATGCAAGGATTGGTCATAAAGGTTTTTTCCCCCATCACTGTTATAACTGCAAATGATCACTAAATAAGGAAATTGCTAAACAAGGACTACCTATAAGGTCATATTGGAATATATATGAGCAATTATTGCGGGGGGGGGGGGGGGGGGGAAGAAAAAAAAAAGAGCATGTGCATCATCACAACAATATGCACTGTAAATGATGCATGTTATGTACTTGCATTAGATGTCATTTGTGCTATCCAGGCATGAAGCAGAGGCCATTATTTTGATATGATTGTGGCTTGTTCAAAATGCCTATGAGAATATAGCTTCCTTAATCTCTCAACCAGCATATTGACTTGTTGAAGGTTGGAATTACAGGCCAGTGTTTGGAAAGGAATAAGCTGGGATTTAAAAAACAAATTAAATATTTGCTTCCTATGCATTCTTTAAGAGAATAACTTGCAGAGCCAGGGATGGTGCTGATGAAAAAAAAGATCTGCCTAGAATCACTACCTAGTCACAAATGAACTTGACTGCCATTGACCCTTATCTAACATTAACCACTTGTTGACCTGTGAGAAGATTCTTGTGCAAAGGGCTTTTAGCAATAAATCAGTTAAATTGAACCTTCCTATGTGGACCTGGTCTTTCATGCCTGACATATTCATCTGTTCTCATCTCACCATTAAAAAATGTAGGACAAATCATCTGAACACTTGAAAACAGCAGATTAGTAAATGTGATAGGAACTCGGGTGCCATTTGAAAGAGCTCTATATATGTTTTACTAAGAACAAACAAGTTGTCTGTAACTTATGAGGCATGCATTATAAATCAAATGTTATCCATTTACTGATATGAAGATGTAATAAGAAGTAGAGATGGTAAATTACAGCTGTTATCAAAGATGCAATTCCTAAGTACAACTAATGTTGCACTGTCATTTACAAGATAAAACAGACAACTTTTCTTGCATAATTTCATGTGGTATAAAACTGATAATAGCAAGAGTTTTATTTTTTTTATTTTATTTGGTTTGTCAATTGCTTACAAGATAATAGGTATAAGTATCTTTCCCATAGAAGATGAATTCTTGTGTTTTTACTTTATAAAAGACACCAATGATAGAAAAATACATGGAAATTAGACAGTCAAGCAAGAAGAAAGTAGGTAGAAACAGGAAGAAATGATGAGGACAAACATAATATTAAATTGCTAGTATAAAAGTAGAATGTATTTAGATAAATGGTAAGTTATCTTCCTTCAGAACATCTAGACGGGTGGGATTCAAATTTTTTAACAACCAGTTCTGTGGGCATGGCTTAGTTGGTGGGCATGGCTTGGTGGTCATGTGACTGGGTGGACGTGGCTTGGTGGTCATGTTATTGGCTGGGTATGGCCAACTCAATATCACTCACATCGAAGCACGCATCTCCTCGCCTGGCCTCTCATGACTGGGGATGCTGCAACAGTTGTAAGTGTGAAAAACGGTCATAAATCACTTTTTTCAGTGCCACTGTAACTTTATATGGTCACTCCACACAAGCAAAGTACCAGCAAAAAAGGAAAAAAAAACCTCCAGAGAAGTTCCAGAGACAGGAAGTCTAGTCCTGCCAAGAATGTAATAAGGGTTAACAGAAAGGCAGTTTCTGTAAGCAATACGAGAATGTTTCCTTCCTGCCTTCCTTACAGGATTAGGCCAGTAATTTCTTCTAACAACCGGTTCTCCGAACTGCTTAGAATGTTAACAACCAGTTCTAGCGAATAGGTGCGAACTGGTAGAATCCCACCCCTGCATCTAGACCATCACTGTGTTTCTTTCCAAAATGAAAGACAGGTTGAACATGAAGAAGTTCAAGTTGCTTCACTCTGATCAAGAGGTATTTAGAAACAGTAAAAAGAATCTGTCATTCACCCATCCATTCATATCTTTCTGTCTTTAGAATCTTCAGTGCCCATTCTAAGCCTGCTTGTTGTAGCTGTTGTTATTAATTTGGTGTCTTTATATTTTAGTCCTATTTTTTCACTGAACTCCTTGATTTTTATGACTACAGCTTACCGATTCTTTGCATTTTTGACTGTAACATCAGTTAAGGGTGGGCAATTGATGTTTCTTCCTCCAGTTTTAAAAAGTATCTTCTTCCAAACCTGCTTCCCTTAATACATATTCAGAATATAGTCTGAATAATGTACAGAATTGCCCTCAGTTTACTTTTGTTTTTAACTTAATAGTTGTAAATTTGGACTACTGGAAAGAAATGTAACTCTTGTAAAGGAGCTAGTTTGTTTCCCTTTATACAATGTGCCCAAATAAAATTTGCTCCTGATGCCAATATTTTGATATGTGACTGTAGCTATTGCAATATGGCAGCTTCGAACCAATTATGTGGGAGGAGGCAATTGTTGAAAGAAATAGCTTAAACCCTATTCCGCATGTTCCAGCATTCTGATCCTGTTCACATTATACACAGACACACTGCTTTTATAAAGTAAAAACACAAGAATTCAATGTCAAATCACACTCTAAACATACTTTTAAGTCATACCATTTCCAGGCTTTATAAATGCACCAGAAACTCTGGTTATTAAACAAATATCATTATGCGTTCTTTGAATAGATGTTGAGGAGAAATTTAGCAAACCACATAAAAGTGACCTCCTTACCTGTGGGTTAGCCTTCCCTAAGGGTGTATTATCTTATAAACTCCCAAGGTGAAACATTTAAAATCCCAACATTGCAAGCCAGATTAGCTGTGACAGCTTTCATTAATAGAGCCTTAGCTGTAGTGCAAAATTGGCTAACAAGATTTTAATAGAAGATGAAGTTTAATGATCACATTTAATGATCTCAGCAGCCACTGCCCTTTGCAACAGATGCTCATTACTTTTAAAAGCTTTCTTCTGTGGCTATCGCATGGCTGTGCCCCCCAAAATAGTGCAGATACAAGCTTGGTAGCACTGTATGTATACCACAAAGAGGCTTGATTTGAATGTGCATAATTGAGAGAAGGTCAAGTGCACATTCTGCAGTAATGACATTGAACATTCTCTGCTTTTCATAAATTATGCCAAATAAGCACTTATGTAGTGAGAAGGGGATGCCAATATAAAGACAAGAGGAAAGGATAGCATGTAAATTTCACAAGCTTGTGAATCTCTCATACTGTAATAAACAGCTCTTGTTTAGTAAGTTTATTCTGTTTGGGCTCCTGAGGCAAGTGGCAAGTAGGAAAGAGAAAATAAAGAAACAGCAGTGCAAGGAAATATCTGCTATTCTTCCATAACCTATCTACACAGAATATTCTCCCTCTAATTCCTCCTCTCCCTGTGTAGACATTGCTCAAGTTCTTTTTATAAGCAAGGAAAAGAAGCAAAACAGATCTGCAAAACAGATGCTGAATATATCTGTTTCAGGGAAGCTACCAAAATAGGAAATACAAATTAATTGCACAAATTTTAGTCAAACTATTCAATATTGTAAAGCAAATAATTAACACTTGTAATGCTTGGGTATACATTGGTTTACAGATAATTGTACAACGATGTCATAGTAATCTGTCAGCAATTGTGATGCCATGTCTGAAATAATATTTCTTACCTTTCATTTCACCTCTTGAAAGGATGTTTCTTTTCCTTAAGTGAGATCACTTTTTAAAGGAGCTTAGAAAACAAGGTTGAGGGTCAATTCTTTTGTCAGTCAAGAATAATTAATGATACTGAATTATATATAAAATGGGCATTGTAATGTGTATGTGATCATCTGTCAATTAATAAAGGTTTCCTCCAAGGTAATGCTATCTGAGATAAATAAAAGACTTTATATCTTAATATATTGTAATTTTAATAGTTCTCAAAAAGCAGGATTAAAATAAATTATAACAGTAGCATGAGAGGTAAGACTGTATGGCCAACAGCAAAAATTATTTTAAATGAATGAGGCTTTGTTTGAATTGCCTTTATAAGCAAAACAACCTGATCCATTTTCCAGTGGTAATGTACAAATAATAATGTTATCCTTCTATTTTTACATTTTTCTGAACGTTGTAAATTTTTCTGGATATTTAAAAAGTTTCATAGAAATGTAAAGTTTTCTTACATACAGGTGTATGTTTGGAAACAGAGGTGTGCACATTCATAGCAGAGGCACTGCCTAAAAATTGAATAGCTATTTTTTAACCTTATTAGAAGCATTATTCAGTACATTTTGAGAAGCAATACAAGTAGTCCTTAACTTAGAACAGTTCTTTTAGTGACTATTCAAAATTACAATGGCACAGAGAAAAGTGACTTATGACCATTTTTATGATCATAAAAATGATCGTTGCAGCATCCCCATGGTTATGCAATCAGAATTCAGAAGCTTGGCAACTGATTCATATTTATAATGGTTTTAGTATCCCAGAGTCATGTGATCACTTTTGGCGACCTAACAAGCAAAATCAGTGGGAAGTCAGATTCATTTAACAACTATGTCACTAATTTAACAACTGCAGTGATTCACTTAACATCTTTGGCAAAAAAAGGTCATAAAATGTGGCAAAATTCATTTAACAAATGTCTCATTTAACAACAGAAATTTTGGGCTCAATTGTGGTCGTAAGTCGAGGATTATCTGTAAATAAAGGGTTTTGGTTTTTTTTACTTCACGTGCTATTTTTAGAGTGCTTCTCCTTTCTTCCCCTTCAAAAGCCAAGCACAACTGTCATTCTGAAAAAGGTACACATCAGTTTAACATAAAAAGTGAACAGTATACATATTTAATACTTTGAAAATTATAATTAATATTTTAAATGCCTTGCATACTTTCATCATGCTGTTTTTTAAAAAATAGATGAATGCCTATGGAATTAAAATAGACATATGCATGTATGTGGAACTAAAATGGTTACAAATAGACTGACTGTCCCAAAGGTGCTTTTTCAAGAGGCAACTGGACTTTCTTGTATTTCTTTGAAGACATTTCACTTCTCATCCAAGAAGCTTCTTCAGCTCTGACTGGAGCTGTCACCAATCTTTTGGACTTCAGGGACCATCAAACTCATAATTTTAAATCCCAGGGACCACTAACCAGTTCTGTGGGCATGGCCTAATTTGTGGGTGTGGTTTGGTATTCATGTGACTGGCTGGGCAGGGCTTTATGTAAATATTATAAATGTTTATATAAATATTTAATTTTTTTATAAAAAGCAAAGCAGGCAGGCAGATTGAGTTGCTCACAGAATCACAGATTCATTCAGAGATCTATCTATATGTCATCGGCTAGCTCAGTCTGTCACATAAAATTTGCTAGCAAGCAAACTCATAAAATTAACTCACAACACACCATGTATGTAAATATTGGATTTTTTATTTTTTAAAAAGAGCAATTTTTACCCAAAATCAGGCAAAGCAGGCAGGCAGATTGAGCTGCTCACAGAATCATTCAGTGATCTATTTATCTGCCATCGGCTAGCTCAGTCTGTCACATAAAATTTGCTTGCCTGCACTGACTAATAGAACCTTCAGTCCTACAGAAGATTTGGCTGTACTTAAAAGCAGAGTGAAAGATCTAAAGACTAGCTAGAAAGCAAGAAATCCAACCATTTCCTGCTTCCTAGCTAATCTAAATCTTCCGGCACAGCAGAACAGCTGATGGTCGGAAAAATAGCAATTCGGCAGGCAAGTTTGCCGGGTAAGGAGTAAGTAGGCGGGGAGGGTTCCCGCAGGCCATGTGGGCGGCGCAGCCTTGTGTTTCTGTGCAGCCTGGATTAATTGCTTTGGGGGGGTGCTCTGGGGGTGAGATTTCTCTGCAGCCCACCAAAATTTTCTTGCGGCCCACCGGTTGGTGACTGCTGGCTTAGGGAATAATCAAGACAAGAGAGGGAGGAGCCTGCAGTTGCTTAACAGTTAGAGAAAAAAACTTAAGAAGGACCCACCCTAAGTGATCAGGCTGTAAAAAGAAATTTGTACTTTACCTCTTGAAGATTCTGTTAAAATAGCCTTACAATAAATAGAATTAGCTCATCAGGTCGTATTTCCTGTCTGGAGTACTTTGGAGGGCATACAAGTGAAGCTAGAAGTAGGTCCACAAAAGATCAGCAATGAAATGGAAAGTTAATCATCTGATTAAACCTGAATCTTCTGTTATTTTTTGAGAAGTTTCTTACCCCCTGCAAGAGACTTCTGTGCTAACGTACCGTGTTTCTCATATAATAAGGCCGGGTCTTATTTTTTTTTGAGCCCCGAAAAAATGGCTAGGCTGTCTTTTCGGGGGTGACTTAATTCCCCCCCCCCCTTGCATTTTCGGTCAGGCGGACAGTGACGGCTTGGATGTAGACCTCGACGTTGGTGGGACACTTCGTATCGGGGTCAACGCAAGCAGCACCATGTCCGGGTGTGCAACAAAAGTACTTCCTAACGGCCAGCCCCCCCCACCATTCCCCCCCCATTTCGTATGTTTTAATATAGGCCTTAATTTGAGGGGAGGGGCTTAATTTCATTTCATGCCTATAAAACATGCTGGGACTTCCTATTGGGGGAGGCCATATTGTTGGAGAAACAGGGTATTTCCTACATTAGCCAATAGATACTACATAGCCATAAGATAATTATCAATGGTTCATTCACTCATCTGCAGGTAGCCCTGTTAAAATTTGCCAAGTTAAAATTGGCAACTAATCACAACTGTGCCTTAAGATGCCTGTTGCCATCCTTGAACAGTTTGCTAGGTGAATAATAGCTAAAGCAAAGGTGCAAAAGAAGGAAATTGTTTTCTCATAAAAACAACTTCCAAACAGGATTTTTTCAGATTTAAACATATGTGTAAGTTCTTTAATATTTCAATAGTGTTAGCCTTACAAAGTGCTATTACATGGTGTACAATAGCTGGAAAATAGCCAGATGGCTATAGTATTACTTGTAAATCCTATAAAATTTGGATACGTGACAAGAATGTGAGTGACACATTTTTTTATGTGTTGATTGAGCTTATATTTTAAAAGTTGTATAAAATAAACATCTCTGCCCTTCTTTCCAGCAGGCAGCACAGGAATCTACTCTCCGGGTTCTATCTGACAGGTACATTTTGTTGTTTTTATGAATTATAAATTGCTCTTTGAAATGCTGAATCCTATTTATTGTGGCATATAGCTCATAATTGGATTTTGTCCCTGAAGTATCTCTGAACAGGGGTATTAAACATTTTGCATGCTTGGATTTGTCATGCATGCATAGAATTTATTGTAGAAAAAGGTAAGTCATAGTCTTCCTGCATTTCATACAAAAAAAACCACCTGGTTGTGGCATGAAACTGTAAAGAGTGAAATACATTAATCAAGTAGTAAATCAGTGGTGGTATTCAGCCGGTTCGCACCAGATCAGGGAAACTGGTAGCAAGGATTTGGCGTGGATCTCCAAACTGGTAGTAAGTTCTGGCTGGCCACACACCCCGACTCGGTCGCCCTCCCGCCCGATGCTCGCTTCACCCTGCCCACCTGACGTTCACCTAAGGTATTTCTTTCTTTTTTTCCCTTCCCGACAATCAGCTGTATATACGATCAGCTGTACCAGGATTATCCTTGCTGAGGCCCAGGAAGGCAAAAAATGGAGGGGGGGGTCAGCCACCCCTCCGGTTTTGCCTTCCTGAGCCTCAGAGGAGCCTTATGGGAACAAAAACACCCCTCAGAGGCTCTTCTGAGACCCGGAAGCTCCCAAAATGTAGCATGGAGGGGTGCTGCCCCTCCCATGCTCTATTTTTTTTTTCTTCCTGAGCCTTATAGGAGCAAAAACGCCCCCCCGCCCCCAAAGGCTCTTCTGAGGGCCAGAAGGCCCAAAAAATGGGTGGGGGGTGGCTGCAAAAACAAAAAAGAGCCACGCCCACCCACTTACATGGCCACACCCACCAAGCCACGCCCCCAGAACTGGTAGTAAAAAAATTTGAATCCCACCACTGTAATAAATGCATCCGTTTAGCAGTTGCTTGGCATATATCTGGGCTCTTTTCGCAGCATTAAGGATGTAATTTATTTCAGAATTGTCTTTCATCATTTTATTTCGAGTTTTTTTTTATGATGGAAATCATCCAAGTGTTCTTCTGTGTCCATAAAATGATATATTCTCTTCCAAATGGTGTGAGACTTATTCTGTATTTTTTTAAGACTGTTCTTTGGAACTCCATTGTTGATGCTAAATGGTTCTTCTAATTTTGGCCAGTCTTTTTCTCAGGTCAAATTTCTATTAATATCTCTGAGAGGCTGCATTTTTTTTTCTCTATATATAGCATTCAGACACATGGTTGTTTGTCAATAGATAGCTTTACCTTATGTAACTCTCAGTGAAACTGCTGGAATTTTAGAGAAATCTTTTTTTGTAACCTAGTGCTTTAAATTTAGGAAATATGGGGACATTATTACTGGAAATATATTTGATTTCACTTTTGCTTTAAAAAGAATCAAAAGAGCAACAACAAAAAATTACTAGATTTATATTGATCCACAAATAAGGCACTGTGTCATGAACCAAAGTAAAATTCCCTTTGTCCTCTTGACAGGAATATCAATATAAGAAATATAAGAATATAAGAAATAGTACACTTTCTAAGGCAGCAAAACAGAGTTTGCTGCCACTTAGAATGAATTATATCTTATTCGTGGGCAAATGACATTTCTTTGTGGACCAAGCCTAAAATCATGAAAACAATCCCATCCCTGCTGACAAGTGTTTGCTGGCATGTTTATTTGATGGGAAAGGGAAGACTAAAAAAAAAAATACCTGTTTTTAGAAATTGATCAAAATTTGAATGGTTTGAATTGCATTGAAGAGGAGGATTGGCCCTGGGAAACAGATGCTTGCAAGTCTATATGATAAATATGGGATTTCTAGGACAGGAAGAAAAAAATACAACCATGTTCCAGTTTGGATGTGTAGAAGATTCTCTCTCTCCTTGGCAGGACTCCAGTCCAAGTTGCTAGCATAAAACAGATCTAACAAACTAGAATAGCCTGCTGCAATGCTCTGTCAGATGCACTGATCTACACATTCCATCATTCCAGTCAGCATGATCAGGGATTGCGAAGTGGTTTAGTTTATCTGGGAGAAAGTTGGCAACTTACTCTATGTACTACCAAACAACATTTCAACAGAAGGTGGACAACCTATAATCCTTCACATATTGCTGAACTATAACTTCTGGTATGTCCAATATTTGCTATGCTGAATAAGGTTAAAGATAAGTAACATCTGGAGATTCATTCATACTTCCATTTACCAATAAACTTACCTCTAAAGGTCATCTATTTTTTTCAATAGATATGATGCATATTCTTTTTTTGAAGGATCAAATAATTTTTTTCTTATTTGCAGCATAATCTACCTGTCTTTTACTTTCTCCTTCTGTTTCCTCATCCCAATTTAAATTCTATATCAATCAAGCCACTTCCTGCATCAGGAGAAGTAAGATACAGTTCATGAAAGCTTGTATATTTTAAATAAAGTGTGTTAATTAAAAAAATGCTACCAGACTACTGATTTCTTGGTACCTTAGATTCTATATTCTTCTATGTCAACAAAAGTTGACTTTGAAAAGAGAATTTATAGATTCTGATTTTTTCCCTATTTTGATTTTGTTCAAAAGAAAGTTAAAATACAAAACTCCCAAAAAAATTAAAAAAACAAAAAACAATCAAGTTATAAAAAATGCATTGAAAAGAAAAAGACCAACATAACACATATACCGTACATGTTATTCACCAGCAACTGAATAATGATTAATATATTACTACAATATTGGTTCCACCCTTTGCAAAGGAGGCCTCCCTAAAATTTTAAACTAGTAAATCTATTTCCAAATTATTGACCTGTCTTCTATATGGTATGTTAATGACAAAATCGTTATCACAAAGAACAATAATAATAAAAAAGACAAGGTTAAAGTTTCAAAACTCTCTGTTAACAAACTGTTATTATAATCTACTCATAGAAAATTTGTCACAGCATTTTATCTATCCCAAATCATCCCCAAAATTAAGAGTAATTCATCTTGGATCAAATATCCATGTAAGAGTAATTCATCCTGGATCAAATATCCATGTTTGTTTCTTATGGATTGTTGTACAATTAAATATAATTGTCTCCACAGTGGGTCTATCTTCTTAACAAAGTCTATATAGAAGTGATTTCCAGTTAGGTTTAATAAATCCATTCTGTAATTTCCCTCAGTCCTCATAGTTCTCAAAAAAAAATTCACTTCCCCATTACAAAATTACAAAAATCCTATAGTGACAGTCCAAGAACAACATAAATGAAAGTTCTGCAACTATTCAAAAACACACCATGTGTTTTTTTTATGGAGAGAATGAAGTTTATTCAAAATAACAACAGAAATCGAAGGGAAAGAAAAAGAATAAAATAGCTAGAGTCCAGCAAGGGATTGAAATAACTTTGCATTCAAACAATTGGACAACTTTTAAAGACATAAAACAAAGTAAAACAATAAATTCAACAAGTGAAAGTTAAAATCCAGGCTTGCTTAGAAAACAAGAAACTGCTGATAGGAAGATGGAATTGCCCAATGATTTTCCAAACACTCCCAGCGGGACCTGGAATGTTCCAGACTCCCCTTCTCAGCTGGGTCCATGGCAGTCCAAAAGTCATCTTGGGTCATTCCTAAGTGCTTTCATACAAATCCATGGAGCAGCACTGTCAGAGAATCCGCTTTGGCAACAAAAACAGCAGATTGTTGGCAAGAAAGAAAAAAGCTCCTTATGTTCAGCAGCCATCTTGGGGAAGAGTCCATATATACTCTAACTTTTGTACTCTGCAACATGCCAATCTTTGTTTAATGGGCTTCTTTGTCTCTGGTAACGTGTCTAGCTAGTTTAGCCAACACCTGCCTTAGAATCTACTGCCAAATAAGTCAATTTTGAAGAGCTGAGAGATATGAACTCAGGTGTGTTGAGGTGAAGTCTGACAGCTTTGATGCTTTAAAGCAGGGGTCTCCAAACCTGGCCACTTTAAGACTTGTGGACTTCAAATCCCAGAATTCCTCAGCCAGTCATGCTGGTTGAAGAATACTGAGAGTTGAAGTCCACAAGACTTAAAGTTGCCAAGACTCCTGCTTTAAAGAAAAATGTTTAATCCATGTTAATGCTCTTAACAAAATAAATGCATTTGCCTATTATTTATATGGATACTCTTTCAATATGCAATGTCATAACTAGTAAAATAGGAAACAGTACTTTCCTATTAGGAATGTTGTAGTACGACTGATCAGAAAATATTCTTTCAACAAAACTTTAATAATTTTTTAAAAAGTCAAAAACAGAGGTGATATTCAGCAGGTTCTGACCAGTTCTGAGGAACCAGTAGCGGATATTTTCAGTAGTTCGGAGAACCGGAAAATACCACCTCTGACTGGCCCCACCCCCATCTATGCTCTGCCTCCCGAGTTCCAACTGATTGGCTGGGTCTTCTTTTGGTGCCCTGCACAGGAGAACGGAGCTGGAAAGCAGATTAGTGGAGTGGGGAGGGAATGGGATTTTGTAGTAACCTTTCCCCAGGAGTGTGGTGGGAATGGAGATTTTACAGTATCTTTCCCCTGACACGCCCACCAAGCTACGCCCATCAAGCCACACCATGCCCACAAAACCAGTAATAAAAAAATTTGAATACCACCATTGGTCAAAACTATATATAGTTTTTAAAAAGCTGGTCAGATTTGCTATGAAATGATAATTTGAAATATAAATCTGAAATATGGATAAAGTACCACACAGTTCCTAAAATGTGATCTCACTGTGGAATCTAGTAGTTTTAAATGATTATATAATAAAATAAACTGTGTATATAATAATCTTGTATATAATAGTTTAGAACTGGAGAACAGTTGTGTGTCAGTGAAACTTAGAAATGTAAAATATTCTACCTTTCCCATCATCATTGTAACAAAAGCTTTTTGTAAATATTAACGTCCAGTTAATAACTACATATATTTAGTTAGCCTTTCCATTGAGTCATCCTTTCACAGATATTTCCTTATCAGATATTGCCTTCAACAATGGTAGAATATACTGCTTTCTAAT